TGAGTGGCAAGCCCAACTAAAGTCCGAGTAACTGGCAGTTAAATAAAAGGTTGGTGGCGAGAACCAGTTTAGTATATTGCAGGGGTAGGTGACCTCGGCTCTTTTATGACTCATGGACTTCAACTCCCAGAATTCCTGAGTCAGCATAACTGACTCAGGAATTCTGGGAGTTAAAGTCCATGAGTCATAAAAGAGCCGAGGTCACCTACCCCTGGTATAGTGGTTATGGTACTGAATTACAAACCATGAGGCTGAGTTATAGTCTTCCCTTAGGCATGAAAACTAGCTGGGTGATTTTGGGCCACTCTTATTTTCCCAGCCTAGCCCATTTCACAGGATTATTGTGATGGAGAAAATAAGAGCCTTACAAAATAAAGGTGGGACTTAAATATAACAAACAAATAAATAGTCAAATTATTCAACTCCACTAGGTTAAATGATGACATTTATTATTATGAAAAATTCAGAAAATTTAAATGCTGCCACTGGCAGTGAGATCATCTCTTCCCCCTTTTTTTAAATTTTACATGACTTAATTAAAAGAAAGTGAGAAGTATACATTTTGCTGAAATTAAAACCACATATATACAGTACATTGCCAGCTTTAAAAAGGTACAGAGAATAAATGTTCATCTGTTTAATAAAAAGGAACAAAGAACACGATGAATCTTCCAAATTTTTGGAGGACAATTCTCCAAAATGAGAATTGTAAGGAGCTGCAGTTTTACCTTGATGACAAATGTTTCAGCTTGCCTCATGGAGGTCTGGAAGCAAAATGCTGCCTTGTTGAAGGATTTCACATCATTCAAATAACTTTCTCTTGAGGGAGCCCAAGGTTGTACAACGGGTTTTGCTTTATTCTTTAGAAATAAGATGGGGAGAGACCACAGGTGGCTTCCCACCGCAGCTTTCAAAGAGGCCTTTGCTTAAAGCAGAATTGAAGCAAAATCCCCCTTTGAAGCTTTGCCCTTTCCCACTTCTAAGCCTTCTGGAACTTATCTCCATAAGGCATTAACCCATTTGCTATCAGCTGCTGTTTCCTAGTGCTGTTCATTTTTCAGAGCCCAGCTTGCCAGACATCCTGTAATTCTGGGCTCCTCCATCTCCGACAACAGGTGGAGATTCAAATGTCTCCATGCTCTTTTATCTGGCCATTTCTCAATTCAGGAGGAACACAACCGGTTTAGCCTTCTGTTCAGGACACTTAAGAGGAGGCTGTGGACCCATCATCTGAGAGCAATAAGCACTTTTTATCAAGGCAAAAATGGGCTGAAAGTCGTGTCAGCATTTTGAGAGTAAAGCCTTGCATTTGGCAGCAAGTATTCTGGCCTAAACCCAACCTGCAGGCAGGGATAGGTCATATTTTATGTAGTTTAGCTCTTTGACTTTGAATCTACAACTCAGTGTTTTTCACCCTTGGGAACTTTAAAATGGTGGGCTTCAACTCTCAGAATCCACCAACAAGCCTTATGCAGAGTTGAAATCCGCCCATCTTAAATTTCCCAAGGTTGAGAAATACTGTATTTGTAAGGTACAACCTGGTGGTTACCCAAATGCTTCTAGTCATCCATTAACCGATGGTTCAATTAACCTTTCATTCCAAACACTTAAGAGAACTACAAAGGCTGAATTGATATAATACTTTGTGGTAAAATATGGGTAGTACTTCAGATTCAGCGTGTTTCCCAAATACTTAGGGTTTTTTGGAAGATGGGGAGTAGAAAAGCAAGATTGTTTATGGTTGAATTGTTGTCCCTTTTGTAACTACATCACACACACACACACACACACACCAAATCCTCCTGCCAAATGCTGCCATCCTATTAATGCAAAAAGTAAATAAGATCAAGTTGAAGTCCACAAGTCTTAAAGTTGCCAAGTTTGAAGACTCCTGAGATAGTGTTTTATATACTGGTGTAGGCTTTCACATTGGGTATCTGCCGGGCAGAGGTGGGCTTCATGTTGTGACCACAGCGTACACAATAGATTTCCTGATGCTTCTCCAGGAACTGTGGTTGGCATCTTTAGAGGTAGAGTGATCTACCATGCAGACCAAAACAACTGAGAAGGCATCCTGGCTTCCGATTGGTCTTTAGCAAAGTGCTTTCTGATTGGTAGGTTAATGAATTCTTTGTGTGCCCAATGCCGATTGATCATTTTGATGATGGTGGTTCTTCGTTGGTGCTTTGTTTATGCCAGCTTCTGACTGGTCATAGGTTCTAGTTGGTTAGTCTAAGCAGCTATGTTCCAACAGGGTCCTGGTCCAGGGATGTTTCTGTTTTGTCCAGTTTTGGGAGATGATTTTTAGTTGGTCCTGCTTTGGAGTAGGATCTTGGTGTGGCTCAGGACAGGGAGCTTAACGTGATCGCTATGGAGCAGCACATATTCCCATTGACGATTTTTCAGGTTGTCCTAATCTGCAATGCCTTCGGTGTTCATCCAGTCGTGTGTGGAAATTGTTTTATGGTACAGTGTCCACAGCTACAGGAGATGCAATAAACCCCGGATGCTGTGAATGGGTCTCTGCCATCTTTGGTTGGTCAAATGACGTCCTAGATTTTCTTAGCCAGACTTTAGATGACTTTAACATTGTGCTTTTCTAATTTTTTTTTCCTATTGGGTCAGTGGCCTCCTCTATGTAGGGCAGAAATGTATGTATTTATCTAAAAAAAGATGTAGAAAATCACTTAAAAACTATAAAACTCAAATCAGTCAAATCATAAAATATTAAAAACAAAAACCTGGCCCCAATCCGTGCTTCCAGGCCATCATCTAATCTTCTCCCACCATTGGGGGGAAAGCTGCGTCTTTAAAGCCTTATGTAAGGCTAAAGGGGGTGGAGGGCTCCCAAAGCAAAGCTGGCTGAGGAATTCTGGGAGTTGAAGTCCAAAAGTCTTAAAGTTGCCAAGGTTGAGGACCCCTGCTCTAGACCACACTCATTCAACCCTGAAGCCAACACTGCCTGACAGATGCTGACAGTCTTGCTGGCACCCTCAATGCAGAAAGGGAACGTCAGAGATCTTGAGTGATGCTTTACCTCGGGGTCTTCAAACTTGGCCCTTTTATGACTTGTGGACTTCAACTCCCAGAATTCCTCAGCCAGGCATGCCTGGCTGAGGAATTCTGGGAGTTGAAGTCCACAAGTCATAAAAGGGCCAAGTTTGAAGACCCCTGCTTTACGTGATCCTGACCCTCATGGACTCTCCGCCAGCAAAATGATATTCAGCTTTTTACTAGCTTCCAACAACTCCCCCCAAAAAATAAATCACAGTCCATCTGTGATTATTCAGGCTTATATCTGGAGAACTTACCCAGGGGTGTTTTTCGTTTCTTCGCGTCTTTCTGAACTGCCAAGGAATTTGTTCAGCTAGGCTTCTTGCAGGGAAATGCTCCTGCAAAGAGTAACTGGTGCAACCTGAATGAGCTTTAGGCATGACATTCAGTGGGAAGTTAGTTTATCCCTATTCAACCAAACTTCAGACTCTGTTCCCACGACCTGTTTAATAGGGTGGGGAGTATCTGTGTTGTTAAGACCATAAAATAGAGTCAATAGAATACAGCCTGGGTTTAGCAAGCCCTAACTTGCACAAGGTTAAAATAACTCTCCCAAGTCAGTTGTGTTTGCAGGAGTAGCAAAACCACATCACTTGTCCCCTTCTTCTGAGCTAAACCTCAAAGATAAAGAGCTAAGATTAAGGAGGGGCTTCAAAAAACAAGTCTCTTCCATCCAGAATGTACCTGCAGTGAACAAGCCATGCCCATTTGCCCAGCCAATGGGTAAGGAGCAAGGGAATTCAACTCTTGCTGAAAAGGCATCTAGATCAAACATGTCAAACACAAGGCCCGGGGACCGGTTTCATGTGGCCCGCGAAGCCATCCTGGAAACAGTGAGGGAACGGCCCCCGCTGCCTTGGCCCTGGCCCAGGCTGGCCGGGAGCCAATGTACAATTTTGTGATGGCCATCTATGCTGAAACGCATTCAGTCTTAGCTCCACAAGGCTGTCTGGAAACAGTGAGGAATCAGGAGAACCTTGAGCAGCAGCCTTGAGGAAGTGGGGCTGGGCTTGGTGCCGGGGTGTGCTCAAGGGCCAGGCTGGGCATTTGACCTCTGCTGCCCAGGGCTCCGGGGCAACCCGCACCACCATCCAGCCCCCCCGCATGGCCTGAGAGGAACAGTGAGGCTCCTCCAGTGGACCATGCCTTGGCACTTGCCCTGGTCCCACCTCCTTCTGCCAGAGACCCTCAGATCTGTCCCACTCCTGCCCAGGCCCCCACAGGCCCCCTTGACGCGACCGATGTAGAACTGGCCACGCCCACCCAGTAGACCACACCCACTCCAACCACACCCACCCTGGCCACACCCACCCGGCCCCCTGAGGGCAACCACAATGCTGATGCGGCCCTCAATGAAATTGAGTTTGACACCCCTGATCTAGATGGAGCTTTCTTTGGGATGAATTGCTGGTTGGGGGATTCTGTGATTTCCAAAGGAAGATTTTTCACTCACAGGGTGGTTTTGGATTAGGGCGGGTCTATAATTAGTAAAGAAGTCTGACTAGATTAGTAGCAAAGAGGCTATAAAGGGTTATCTCTTGCTACGGTCCTCAAGATACAATATGATTAAAAAGTCGAGGGCATCCATAAAGCCTATAAACAAGAGTGGGCCGTGTAATCACGACTGCCATCTTTAATGTTGCACCTCTACCCCCTCCCCCCACACACACACACACTGGACACCCCTCACCCTAATCCTTGTGTGGTTTACGTTGAGTTCTTTTTTAAAGGAGCACACACACATAGATATGTAAACAAGCTGAACTTCATCTTGTAAACACGCACAAAATATTGTATTATACATTTAAAAGAAAAGTGCAAAATCAGCCAAAGATGAGGAAGGAGGACGCCTGACATTACAAGCCAATATCTCCACCATATGCTCTCCTTTTAAACACTTAAATGAGAATCCATTAAAAAAAAAAAAAAAGAATCAGTGCATGTGTTTTCAGGAATCATGAAATGCCATCTTCTACCCCAGACTATGTTTTATACATCTTCAGACACGCGTACAATAGAACTGAGTAAAAAATCCCAAATCCACAACAATTAACGCTGCACTTCTTCCAGAATTCACCCCCACACACAATTCTAGAACACCGGGGAGAGCTTTAAATAAGAATTAAGCCTTCCGTTTACTGAGAAATCACAGCACCGCGCACACACACACGTCGGTTTGAGGGGAACCATTGGAGCTGATGGATAGTCAAAAAGATTTTTAGGAGCTACTTTGATTCATTTTAATTTCCAATTGTCCAGGCTGAGGTCCTCTGGATTTCCTTCCTGTCCTCCAGTAAACGTGTTCCTCGTCTCCCTCAAATCAGAGGCCCCATACTGTGGAAGACTGACTGAAGGCAAATGACACTGGAGCGCTTTCCTACAATCTCAACCTTTAAGACATTTTTTGGCTGGATTTTTATTTTTATTTTATTTTTTTGCTGATCTTTGGTAGGTGAAGATGACGTCGCAGAATTCCCCTGTGCTACGAGGCTTTAAAAAGATCCCTTGGAGAGAAGCAGAGAAACCTGTCCATCAGATTTCCCCTCAGCTCCTCCATGAACTTAAAATGATTTTTCCCCTTGACTTCCCCCGTTGGTGTTACGCTACTTCACAATCCTGTCCAATTAAAACGCTTACGGAAGGGGCTGCTGTCTTATGCGCGGGAAAAGAGCAACGTTCATTGATTCACCAGTATGAAATCCTACGCAAGTCTGTCTCAAAGTATATAAAGATTAATGCAGATTTTATACAGGTTGGTTTCCACTTAATGAAAGTAAACGCTAACCAATGGTCCTTAAAGCATCTTTTTTTTTTAAAATATGCAGCCCCCCCCCACTTCTGCGATGGTGTTGGGTTAGTTTTGTTTCCCCTTGTTTCCTTTTTTGTTCCTTTTCTGCTTTAGAAATCTTCTACCAGTGTTATCTGTAAAGCAATACGAGCCAGTTCTGTTTTCTCTGAGGGGAGGAAAGAACAAAGAGGCACTTCTTGATTGGCTGGTAATTCCTAGAGATCCCTTTTTTTCAGAGTTGTGTTCCTGACACAAGTGGCGGCTGTGTGACAGAAGACAGCAAGAGATAGTTTTTTTAGGCACTTGGCTGCAGGTTTTCCAAGGCAGCACCCGGCTCTTGGCTATGTCATCAGAATCGGTTTCTGTCGCACTTCCAGAATATCTGTGGGGAAAAAACAAAGGATGACAGAGGGTTACAGGGGGATGTTCCAAGTCCATCTCTTCTACTCCTTAGAAATAACCTGCACAGGGATACTTGACTTCACTGATTTGAAGAGATGTGGAGGCCATTAGTGAGACATTTATGAGCAACCGTGTGGTGGAATGTAGTCTGGATTCACAGGAGGGAGGGGCTGTTTCTCAGAGGGCAAAGAGACAGCAGAGCTTGGAATGTCTGGTGGGCAGGACAGACCCTCCCGAGTAGTTCACAGAGTGTATCTGTACCGTGTTTCCCCTAAAGCAGTGATGGCGAACCTTTTAGAAACCGAGTGCCCAAACTGCAACCCAAAACCCACTTATGCATCGTCGGGTGTCGGGTGGGTGTGGCCCATTGGCCGGGTGTGGCCCATTGGCTGGGCGTGGCTGCGGTGGTAACGGCAGACTGGGGGGGGGGACTAAAAAGTTCAGTCAATCAATTCCAACTTTGCAAGATCTTTTTTTCCCCCGCGAGAAGTTGAAATTGACTGATTGATTGAATCTTTTTTTTTTTTTTGCACACGGCGGCAGAGGCCTAAAGCGAAAAGGTTTTATAAAACCCAGCTGAAGGCCTAGGACTGGGGCGACAGCATGCGTGCCCACAGAGAGGGCTCTGAGTGCTGCCTCTGGCACCCGTGCCATAGGTTCGCCACCACTGCCCTAAAGTAAACCCTACTCCAAAAGCCCCAGCGGATTTTCAGACGGGGGGCTAATATAAGCCCTCCCCCGAAAGTAAGCCCTAGTGCAGGGTGAGTTGGCCCAGATCTTCCATGTGGCCGCTGGAGCGCCCCCCCGTCACCGGTCTGCCATTGGCCTTCACCAGCGGCTGCCTGTGGAACTGGCTACCACCAGCCCCGCTCTCTCTGTCCCATCGAAGTTAGAAAGTTTGAACTTTTTTTTTTCTCCCACAAACACAGGGTGAATGCTGAGAAGCGACCGGAGAAGCACAATGCAGCTGAATCAGGTTAGTAAAAAAATGCCTGGGGAGGGCATCTGGGCGGGATCGGGTGTAGCAACCTTACCCTACGCGGCTTCGGCAGGTGTCTGGCAAGGGGAAGGAAGCAACTCCACTCCGTCACCTGCCTTGCTTCACCTCATGGCAGTGGCGGCAGCCGCCGGCTGGGCGGAAGGCGATCCAGCGGGAGCAGCCGGTAGAGGCCAAAAGCGCCCAGCCGGCATGAGAGATGCAGCGCACGTCAGGGCCTGAAGAGTGCCAGGTTCAGACCTTAGCCCGGCGCCTGAAGCACTTAGGCGTGCAGGCTGGCGCTCAAGCAGCCCAAAGGCGGAAGCGTGGCCAGTGCAGTTTTATCGGCAGCCGCTGGCGAAGGGCCCTGGCAAGCCAGCGGCGGGGCGGCACTCTGGATCTGGGCTGACTCACCCGGCGCCAGGCTCGGTGCCCTTACCACCGCCCACCACCACGGCCGTACTGGTCCGCCACCACACTCTTGCCACCACGTTGCTTCTCTGCCACATGTACAGGTCCCGTCCCACCCCCGCACGCTCGCGGCCTACTAGTACCAAGCATGCTAATATCTGAAGGTGAAATATGTCAGATGAGTGAGCAATGGGTACCCATGCTTTGATTTTCTGATTGTCCAGCTGATTGAGCTCTTGGCAATTTCCAGGAAATTTAAGAATCTGCACTGAGATTTAACAGGAAGGAAGGAAGGAAGGAAGGAAGGAAGGAAGGAAGGAAGGAAGGAAGGAAGGAAGGAAGGAAGGAAGGAAGGAAGGAAGGAAGAGAAAGGTTGTCAAACTTATCAGTGGATAAGTAGAGAACAAATGCCATCGTTCTTCTCTCTTCATTCATTCCAGGAGATACACCTAAGAAGGTAGGAATTGAAAAGCAGAGCAGCCTTACCAGTTAAAATCCGTTGCAACGGCAGCGTGACATAGGTTAAGTGTGCATAGAGGAGGAAGTTTTCATCCGTTCGGTTCAACTTCAACCAAGAACCCACAAGAGAACGGCCAGTTCCAGATAACGACCGGGAACGTAGGTTTGTTGCGTTATGCAAATCTGTCAGAGAAAAGTCGACTTCAGGAAGGAAACTGATGCATATGAATTGCCTTAATGAATCAGACCAGGTGTCCTGGTTAGGTCAATGGGGCACCTGTGACCAGTAGTCCCAGATGCTCTCATATAAAGGACATTACCACTGAGGGCAAAGGTCAAATCCCAGCCCTTCAGTTCACAGTCGTATGTAACAGCAACTTGCTTTATTTACAATAACAATAATAATAATAGAGTTGGAAAGGACCTTGGAGGTCTTGTAGTCCAACCCCCTGCTCAGGGAGGAAACCCTATACCATTTCAGACAAATGGCTGTCCAGTGCTCCAACACTGGAAGTTTTTAAGAGACTGGACAGCCATTTGTCTGAAATGGTATAGGGTTTCCTGCCTAGCAGGGGGTTGGACTAGAAGACCTCCAAGGTCCCTTCCAACTCTATTATTGTTGTTGTTGTTATTATTATTATAAACAGATAATACTCTGCCTAAAGATCAATTTCATAACATGACTACCATTTTCTTCACAGAATCTGGACAACTAGAGTGAGGCAGTGTATAAATCTGATAATAGATAGATAGATAGATAGATAGATAGATAGATAGATATAGATAGATAGATAGATAGATAGATAGATAGATAGATAGATAGATAGATAGATAGATAGATAGATAGATAGATAGATAGATAGATAGATAGATAGATAGATAGATAGATAGATAGATAGATAGATAGATAGATAGATAGATCCCACCCTTGAATTCACCAACTCCAAATCTGATTTAGCCATACCAGAATATTTTGGGTGATACTTTGATTTCTTCCCCATTTTCACAGGGAAACAAACCAAAAGCACGTCGAGACCCTTCCAACAAGCCAAATGCAAAAAAGGCAGAAATGTCTGCCCACCCATTCGTCTCGTTCCTTCCTTCCTGACTCACAGCCCTTTAGCGTAATGCTAAAGAAAGGGTGGTGCCCTCCCCAGCAGCTGACACCCCAAGCTTCCACCAAAGGGTTCTCCTCAATGCTTGTACCTCCATCTTCGTCATCCCGAAAGAATTCCTCGCTGTCGTTGGCTGAATGGGATTTCTTCATCTCTGCAATTCGATTTCGGGTCACTTTCCTCTTGAGCGATGGGGAGAAAAAAGAAGGGCGGCTGTTGCGTTCTGGAGTTGGAGGGGTGCTGAAGGACGTGACCTAAGAAGGGGAGAGAAACAGCAACAGGTGAGAAGCAACTGAGATGTATACTGATTGTCTTTGATGGTAAGAGTCAGGGTGGCACAGCGGTTAGAATGCAGCATCGCAGGCTAGTTCTGCCAACTGCCGGCAGTTCGATCCCGACTAGCTCAAGGTTGACTCAGCCTTCCATCCTTCCGAGATCAGTAAAATGAGGACCCAGATTGTTGGGGGCGAAATGCTGAATCTGTAAAGCACTACGAAGTCGTGCTTATAAGTCTAAGTGCTCTTGCTACTCAGTACAGGTAGTCCTCAACTTACAACAGTTCATTTAATGACCGCTCAGTTATAACGGCATTGAAAAAAGTAACTTATGACCATTTTTTACACTTATGACCACTACAGCATCCCCATGATCACGTGCTCAAAATTCAGGTGCTTCGCAACTGACTCATATTTATGACGGTTGCAGTGTCCCAGAGTCATGTGATCACCTTTTGTGACCTTCCGACAAGCAAAGTCAGTGGTGAAGCCAGATTCACTTAATAACCCTGTTACTACCGTGTTTCCCCAAAAGTAAGGCCTACACCAACAATAAGCCCTAGCTTGATTTTGGGGGGTGGGCCTAAAATAAGCCTTAGGGCAGGGGTAGGCAACCTTGGCTCTTTTATGACTCGTGGACTTCAACTCCCAGAATTCCTGAGCCAGCCATGCTGAGGGGAAAGGGAGAGGTTTCCAAGCTGAGCCATGCTGGCTCAGGAATTCTGGGAGTTGAAGTCCACGAGTCATAAAAGAGCCAAGGTTGCCTACCCCTGCCCTAGGGGGTGAGGCACACACCTAAAAATCAAGCTAGGGCGGGAGTGGGGGCGGTGGAGCTGCCCCACCTGCCCCGCACCCGCTTACCTTGCAGCCAGGCCTCTCCTTGCCGGCCCACTACTTCTTCTGAGGCCTCTTCTGCAGCCAGGCCTACATTTCTCAGTCACACGGCTTTCCGGAAGGCCTGTGCATCCAAGAACCGAGCTATGGATTCAATCCATAGTTGGGTTCTGCAAAACCTCAGCAGCCGAGCACCAAGCTATGGATTCAATCCATCACTCGGTACTTGGCTGCTTAGGCCTTCTGGAAAGGCCTGACTACAAAATGCAGGCCCGAATGCAGCTGCAGAACATCGGCCCCAGAAGAAGTGGACCAGCTGGGTGGAGCTGTCGGTGCCGGAGGTGAGGTAAGGTCTACCCTGAAAATAAGACCTGGTGCCTCTTTTGGAGGCAAAAAATAAAATAAAATAAGACATGGCCTTTCTCAGCTGTCGTAGTGGAACTGAACAGCATGCTGAAATTTTCGCTCATAAAATCAAGCCATCGGCTTACACTCTTCTGAAAAACAGCTTTTAATATCCCCCTTGCGCTGGATTTTAATCTGATGCTCTGCTCAAGGCCAACCCAAATTGCCACAAATGGCAAAAACATTTGTGACACAACATGGTGCGCTGTCTCTAATAACGTACTTTATTCTTTCAAGTGGCTCGTGAAAGGAGAAAAAAAAGAGAATGTCATTAACAAAGTTAACTTACTCGCTCATGCAGCGGTGAACTTGGGTTTGAATCTTCTTCTGTGCCATAAGGAGACGTGTCACCTGTGGAAATGCGACCCACCGCCATTTCCGCATGTCCTTTGGCCTGAGGCCCCTTCATACGCACAAACTCCATATTGTTGTATTTATAAAAACCAAAGGACATCCTCTGGGCCATTTTGGCTGCCACGCTCACCTGCAAAAGGTAGTCAAAATTCAAGCCACTACATCAGTGGTGGCAAACCTCTGGCACGCATGCCGTCACCCCAGTCCTAGGCCTTCAGCTGGGTTTTATAAAACCTTTTCGCTTTAGGCCTCCGCCGCCATGTGCAAAAAAAAAAAAAAGGTTCAATGAGTCAATTTCAACTTCTCGCGGGAAAAAAAAAGATCTTGCAGAGTTGGAATTGATTGAACTTTTTAGTCCCACCCAGTCTGCCGTTACCACCGCAGCCACGCCCAGCCAATGGGCCATGCCCAGCCAATGAGCCACGCCCAGCCAATGGGCCACACCCAGCCAATGGGCCACACCCACCCGGCACTCAACAATGCATAAGTGAGTTTTGGGTTGCAGTTTGGGCACTCAGTCTCTAAAAGGTTCGCCATCACTGCACTACATCATTGACATGAATTGCATAGACCTCTTTTAATTCCATTTTCTCCGAGTAGGGCATTGGATCTGCTTTGGTTACCGTTACGGGAGATCATGTCCTAAAGAAAGGTACGATCAACTCTCCAACGGTGATCAGCAAATTTGCCCACATTCAATCATCATCCTTGCGGACTTTCTTGATTGGACTTACCACTGCTCTCTAATTGTGGCAAGGCTCCAAAAAATAATATTAAGAGAACTTTAATTCTGGAGTGTGCCATCTGTGCTACAGAAAGCTACCCTGGTCTGACCTGGTATTTAGTGTCTATATAACAAAACTGTTTTCTCCCATCTTGATCAATGGAGGAATCACTGTCTTGTTGAAACAGGTGAAATGATCTGAGGAGTAATGGAGAACAGCAAGGTCCTTCTTTCCCTGTTGTTACTAAAAGTAGGCTTCCAACTCCTGCTCTACACACAGGCAAGAAAGCATTTCTGGTTGGCCCCATGTTATTTATAATAATAATAAAGTTGGAAGGGACTTTGGAGGTCATCTATTCC